GGCAACACTGAATTTTCTCCATTTAAACCTATGCTAAATAATCTATTATTGTCGAAGCACCTGGCCCCTCCAGGAATCGATACATTCCTATAGATTTAAATGGAGGATAGGAAAGACAATGTTGCCAAATTGCTGGATCCGCCGATGGAAAATGGTCGCCTTTAGGAAAAAAGGATCCGGGGGGGGGGGGGGGCGTAGTGAGCGCACGCATCCCTCCCCTTTAACCCAAAAGAGAGTAAGAAGAAAGAAAAAAAGGAAAAAACGGAGGCTGGAGAGAGGAAGGAAGGTTACTTATATTTGGTACCTATTTATGGAAAAATTGACTCAAACTGCATATAAGATGCTTGAAAACGAAAATTTTCTGAGGAAGCCCCCCGGACCCCTTACGCCCCCCCTCTCCTGTTCGAAGTGTTTGGATCCGCCTATGCACACATGGATTTTAGCCAAATGTTAGTATTATGCTTCGTGGCCATTCATAAAATACGATTCGTCCTATTTGGGGGGCGGGGGGGGGGAGAAGAGAGCTTTATGGTTTTACATGTTAGAGGATAAAGATCTCAAAAAACGCGCAACGAGGGGGGAGGGCGGGGAAAGGGGTGCCAGGAAATCCGAAATTCAGCGTTACGTATCATATAAGCGACCACTTTCTGATTCCGTAGAATATGACCGTATGACAGCCGGGATTTCGTTTAAATATGGCCACTACTAAATGGATTACATTTTGCAATAGGTAAGGAACCACTATTTCTTGCCCATTTTAGAAACAACATACATGCCATTGGTTTCCCTATGCAGATATGTGCTCTCATAGGAGAGCCAGAGATAGTGGTTCCTTATTGCAAAATGCGATCCAATTTTAGTTATCTTTGTGAGCCTATGACTCCCCTCCCCCCTATCTAGTCCTAAAACTTTGATGAATTTAGTTAGCTTTTCCCGGATCCTCTCAACCAACGTGACGAATGCCCTTGCTCTCTCTCCCCGGTCCTCATATCTTATCCGCGGACTTATTTTTCATGAAAAAACAAAACAAACCAGTCCTGCGCCTTCCGTTCGAAAGCGTCTGCCGATTCATGTCTGGTAATTGGATAATCGCTGATCGCGACGCGCAAGATATACCCAGTGAGTCAGTGACTCAAGTCATACAATTCATCGAGGAAAAATAATTGACGAGAGACAAAATTTCTATCGAATGAGACAACGGTGCCAGCCGCAGCCGCTGCATCGATGCTGATGTTGAACACCGAATGTACGGCTATTCTGTCGTGCTAAGAAAAACCGCCGTATGAGCATTCAAGAGTTGCCAAATTTTCTTCGATAAAAAGTTTATTTTTGAGGCAAATTATGAATATTTTTCCTTGAAATTTTCAGGAACTTCTGGTGAAACTGCGAACAAAATTACCCGAATAATTTCCTTTGATAAAACACACATTTCCTGGTAAATTTATGAATATTTTTCTTCCAATTTATCAGATTCATTATTTCACCTAAAATTCCTGAAAATGTCAAGGAAAAATATTCATAACTTGCCTCAAAAGTAAGCATTTTATCGAAGGAAATTTGGCAACTTTCGAATGTTCATACGGCGTTCTTCCTTAGTACGGCAGTATGGCTATAGCGATTTTGGGGAGTATATTACAGATTATGATAACATGTCTGATTTTGACTCACAGGTTACAAAAATCTTTCATTCATCCTGAAACACCCTGTATATACATTGAAGCAAACAGTACTACGAACCAACAAGAATCATTCCAATGGAAATATTTTCGAATCGAGAAAAGTCTGACGTGTGGATATCGCCGCGAAATGTTTTGGAGGAATGTAGATAAACAACACTGAGGAGGCAATTGCACTCTTAATCCTCAAATACTCCACGAGTATGATGACGATTGTAGAAATAAAAGTGAAAAACCAAACAAAAACTATTTTTAGCAGACGTGCAAAGGTCTTAATACGAGAGACGCACTGAGGTAAATCCATTGAACTGTGAGTTGGAGTTCCTAGCGGCTGTTACGTACACACGGTTTGCCTGCCGCAAAAATCGATCCAGTCTAACAACTTAAAAAAAAAAAAAAAAAGGTGTTCCCGTGTACTTAAAGCTCGCGATTTTTCCCCATCAAATGACACTTTTTTCACTCGCTGCTGTCGGTATCATTCGAAGAATCGACTTGCTTTTCTCTGAACTTTACTCGGGTATCGCGTGATTAGGTTTTCGTTGTACTACAAGGGAATTTTTTGAAAAACGACATGAAAAAACCTCTGAGCTCCCGGCAGAACTTTATATCGATAGCCAAAAAGCGAAACCACGTTGCGTTTGCGACGTTGCAAACTTTCTGGCGTAATTTATGTTTGGAGAATTAACTAACGCAATCCCTCGGCGGAATGGCGATGGAGGCTAGGAGGCGATAGGGAGGGGAGGCACTTCTGAAAAAAAATCCTAATCTAAGATAAATTCATATTTTGACATATACTGCCGTGCTAGAACCTTCAGGCGTTGCCAAATTTTCTTGGATAAAACACAAATGCATGTTCTGATAAAATTAAGGAATTTTTCTACCAATTTGTTAGACAATTTTTTTCGCAATTTAATCTACATTATCTGAAAATTTCGTGGAAACATTTTAGCGGAAGAAATCTGGCGACTCTTAATTGAATGTTCATACGGGGTTTTTCCTTAGCACGGCAGTATAGGACGCAATTTCTATGATCTAGCGTTTTGCCCTGAGACAGACACTCTACATACACCCATAGTGGAACAAGGCCAATGTGTTAGTACTTTTACTAAATGGACAAAATGTTTGCCCTGAAGAGCGGTAATTTGGTGATTTCCACTGAGTAACGACACTATTTTTGCCAAAAATTCGTAGGTATCATTGGGGCTAAAGAGACATTAAAGAGATAAACAGGATCCCATGGTTTTGAATGTATTTGCAATTTATTGCAATCTCTGCTGCTTTGGTAGTAGAGGTAAAGTAGAAAAAGTGTAATTGAGCGAGTAAACGATAGGTCATAGCGGAAAGTAACATTAAAAGAAGGTATGAATTCGGCTGACATGTTCCAGGCAACCTGTATTATCTAGACAAATCATCGACGGCAACTGTATCAGAATAAGCGCTGAACATTGTAAGAAATGGGTGATGATCCGCTAATACTATCCTTGAACATACATCACACAAGTGCTGCTAGCAACTATTACTGCTCCCGAGCAGCGCACATTGCCTATCGAAATATTGAAGGCGAACTGATCGGAACGTGTGAAGTATCATGAAGCAGCTACAGCTATGAACAAACCTATGCGATCGTGACCGAGATGCGACGAGCAACTATTACTGCTTCCAAGCCGCTCACGTTGCCTATCGAAAGAATTGAAGGCGAACTGGTCGCAACCATGTGAGTGGAGTATTCATCCTTTAATGCCACGAATAGAGCAGAACTCGCTAATTTGAAATTTTGGCTCCCGAGGACGCACAATTAAAACGTGGTATTAAAGGGGTCCTTAGAGCCCTGAAAGCAACGGACGAGCCCTTACCCAAGTAGCAGTGATCGCGATAAATAGCGATTTTATTGGTTGATTATCGCGATTATATTGGTGGCAATTTATCGCAATATTATCGAATAAAAAATTGAGATTTATGGCGATTAAATCGCTATGCATCGCAATTTTTTGTTCAATAAAATCGCGATCAATTTTCGTCAATAAAATCGAGATTAAATTGCCATACATCGCGATTTTTGTTGCGATAATATTGCGTTTTTTGTTGCGATAATATCGCGATAAATTGCCGGGCGATGAAATCGCGATTTTATTGCAACAAGATCGAGGATAATCGCTCAGATGTTGATGATCTTAGCGATTTTATCGCCGACAAAATCGCAAAAAATCGCGATTTTTCCGTTGAAAAATGCTACTTGGGTACTGAGACCTTATAATTATAGTATTCCAAGATTTAAGTGGAACCTGGGAAAGAACGAAGGGGTCGTCCCTATACCTTTATCTCCTTTTTCATTATTTTTTCCTCTTCTGTTTTCCGTAGAAAAATTATTTACTCGGGCTCGATACTTTGCGCTCCTTGACTTCTACACTGTTACTGATAACAGCGAGGTAAGTTATAAGTATGTATTGTAAATGCTGCATTAAAAAAAAAAAAAAAAAAAAAAAAAAAAAAAAACTGAAATTTTATTGGAAAAACAAAAAATAGCGACTTAATCGATCATGCTAGGGTCAGTTCAAGATATATCTCGAAGCTTACTTAACTTCAGTTCCTTCGTTTCGAGGACAGAATTTCCATCATTTACATATCCCGATTTCCTGACTTTTTTTTGGCTTAACCCTGACTCCGAAATTTTCGAATTCCTTGATTTTCTCTCGCCTTTGACCCAAACTTCCATTTAAATTTTTCTCCTCTTTTAATTATACTGACTTCCGCAAAATGCTGCTTGCAAAATACCCTGACTTTTCCTATCAGTATGAATGGAGAATTTGCATGCAAATTTTTCATTGCTTCATCTGAGAGTGTTTAAAGAGCCGATTTCACCGTATTTTTTTATAATTTTTTTCTGATAAGGGAACTAGTGTAAAAATAGATTTAAAAGTGAAAAAATGCACCGCTTAGTACCTAACGTCATCTGGCGGCATTTCCCATTTAAACAAATGCATTTTAGCGGATCAGATAATTTTGTCATATCTTCTCCAATACTTGTTCAATTCATGAACCAAGGGTATCCTCGTGTTCAGTTCACTCAGTAGTTTCCTTTTAAACACGAAATTCATCAAATTTCAGACACCTGCAAATCCTCTATTCTTTGATTTCTCCAGATCGCCGTAAATCCCAAGCCTTTCCAAACTTCCCAAACTTCCCAAACTGCCTGAAACCCTGAAAAAGAGCACGCTCAACGGCACGCCGCTGCGAGGACTCTCCACAAGGAAACCGTGCGGAAACGAAGCTCGCTGAAAAATCAGCGTGGACGCAACGTGAGGACAAAACGAGAGCTTTACTAACCTGGAATCGAGACTGAGGAGCTAAAAACTTAAAACGAACGAAGAAACGAGCATGCTCACTGGAATTACACAAACAGCACGGCTTGCGGCGGAGGCAGAAACTCGGAATCGGTGAGCAAGGGCGAAGGTCACTATTTACTCCTGCGCGCAGTCACAGTGAACTAGCGAGCCGGTAGGTCGTTAGCGGGCGCGGACGCGAGCAGTGGGGACTGATTCGGGGATTACCACACGCATGCAGGTCGGACGAGTGGGAGGGCGGCGGGAGGGTGGAGGATTTCAAGAAGAACACGGTGGCGGCCGCGGGGAAGGGAAGGCTCAAAAGACTGATTTACCGGTCAGATAACAGACTGGTCCAACCAGCGCGGATGACCGCGGCCCAGACGGTATCCGCGCGCGTGTTGGCTTGGCTTTTGTTGTTGGGGATGAGCCCGCGAGCTGGTCGCTCCGCACTCCGATCAGCTGATCGAGCTGATCGCTGTCGCCGAGGATAATCGATCAGGACCCGCGCCGGTGGCCGCTCGACGATTGGTTCCGATCCGCGACGCACACTGGTCGAAGACGTCGGACACATCGTGGAAACTTCGGCATTGAAAAAAAATTCTCGGCGTTTTTACCAAGGTCCGTTGGTACCTTTTCCATCTCACTTTTTTTTACCAATTATTGGTAATTTTACCAAGACAGACTGGTAAGCTTACCTAAAAACCGGAATTTTGACTATTTTTTCAGGTAAGCATACCACTTTTATTGGTAATCAATTCCCGGTAACTTTGCCATTTTATCTCGGTAATTCTACCACAGTCGATAAAAAATATTGGCGTTTTTACCAAGGTCCAGTAAAATTACCGAGAAAGTTCAATAATTTTACCGAGATTTCTAGGTAAAATTACCAATTCCATGAATGGTAATTTTACCAAGAAAAAACTGGGATCAAATAGAACCCTGAATTCTTGGTAATTTTACCCTTTTCTTGGTAAATACACCGAGATTTTTTTTCTGTGTGAAGCTTTTATCTTCGGTATTACGAAACGCACAAGTTTGAAAATAGTCTCATTGATTTCCTTGTTAGAATCCTTTTTAAGTTACTCCATTTAAGATATGCAATGTGACCAAATAAATATCGAAATGTGGTAGTTATACTAAAAAAAAGCACGTCCAACTTCCTCCAATGGCTTTTTCCTCTGTGCGACGCGGAGAATTCTTACGGTACGCGGGTGGGATGACCGCACCGCACCGCGTAACTCTCACGGGGATTTTTTTTGTGTTCTATTTTTTCTTAATCGTCCCTGACTGGGTACTTTTTCCCCCTTTAGTTTGAAGTAGAAAAAAGTTAGGGGACAAGTAAGGGACGTGGGTACATTTATGAGAGATCGTGTATGTTCCGGTTTTCCACGAATTGTTAAGGAGTCTTCACGTCCGATCGTGATCACGTGGGATTCGGCGGATTCTCACGCAAATCCGTGATTTTTCGCTGTCCGCGGATAATCATGGGTACTCGCGGACAGATGCGGTTTCGCGGATACTCGCGTATAGCTGGGGATCTTGTAAGTTTTTGAGGGTTTTCCCGTAATATCAAGATTTTCCGCGGATAATCACGGGCACTTGCGAATAATTGTGGTTTCGCGGGTGCTCGCGTATAGCTGGGTTCTTGTAAGTCTTTGAGGGTTTTCCCGTAATATCAAGATTTTCCGCGGATAATCACGGGCACTTGCGAATAATTGTGGTTTCGCGGGTGCTCGCGTATAGCTGGGTTCTTGTAAGTCTTTGAGGGTTTTCTCGTAATATCAAGATTTTCCGCGGATAATCACGGGTACTTGCGAATGATTGCGATTTCGCGGGTACTTGCGTGTGAATGCGGTGTTGTAAGTTTTCGCGGGTTCTCATGCAAAACCGAGATTTTCCACGGATAATGACGGGTGCTCACGGATAATTTCGATGGGTACTCGCGTAAAACTGGGGTCTTGTAAGTTTTTGCGGGTTCTCCCATGATACAATGATTTTCCGCGGATAATCACGGGTAGGTACTCGTGGGCAATTGCGATTTTGCGGATGTGTATAGCTGCACATTTTTCAGGGCTTTCACGTATTATTACGAGTTTCCATGGATTTATTTGGTCATTCTATTATTACTGCGGATTTGACCGTACTTTTATGTGATCTTGATGCGAGTTTTTGTGAGTATTCAAGGGAAATCGCAACTTTTCGCCGATTTTCCGGAGACTTGCGTGTTATTCTGAGTTTTCGCGGGTACTTTATGGCCAACTGAACGTATTTCTGTCAAATGGAACTATGTGCATTATGACGTGCGGCCTGTTATGCATGTATTCTTATGGGTCTCGGGGCTCATGTCTTAATACACATAGTTCCGTTTGATAGAAATACGTCAAATTCAACTCTTGATGCAGATTCGCGGTTTTGCGGTGACTCGCATGATATGACCGCAAATTTGCTCGTGTATGCTCAATTGCTCGTGTGCAATTGCGAGTTTCTGCGGTTGGGTTTATTGGTGAATCCAGCAATTGGCAACATTGTTTTTCTCCATTTAAACCTATGGAAATGTTTCGATTCTTGAAGGAGCCAGGTGCTCCGACAAGAATCGACTATTTACCATAGGTCTTATTGGAGGACCCGGTGTTGCCAAATTGCTGAGCCTCCTTCTGCTCTCTGAGCGTGGGGTTTTTTGGAATGACAGGGTTTTGCGGGCATTTTAAAGGTTCCGACGGATTTTTGTATTCTCACGGGCCTTCGAATGTGTCTGCGGGCTTCCCTCAGAATTGTCGTAGTTTAGCAGCGGATCCGATTAGAAGAGAGCAGAAGCTAACATTTCATACAATGGGAAAGAAGGAAGAAAAATCAATCAACCCAAAAATGGGAAGACCAAAAACTATTATTATTCCTATTATTTTGTTAATTTTATTTAAAAATTTATTTTTTAGGGGAGAAATAATTGACAGTCCATAGGAAATGGAACCTTATCCAACGAAGGCGAATTTCCAGTCGAGAAATTTTTTAAAAGTTAGGTTTTTGAGATTTCAACGGAGCATAATGTTCCAGAGTATAAAAGTTGCAAGCGGTGGAGCCCATTCTATGGTCATGGTACCATTTTGATTCAGTTATACCTACCTTGGTTTCGTGACCTGAACATGGTAATATGGGTTTTTCTAGGTAAGAACCTTTGAACTGCAAAACCGAACCTCTGTCAGTTTGGTTTAACATATTTGGACATTTTCTGCCAAACTGAACTATGTGCATTAAGATATGAGCCCTGAGTTTCATAAGAATATATGCATATTACCTGGCTCACGTCATAATGCACATGGTTCCGTTTGGCAGAAATATGTCCAAATGTTTTTCCATGGAACACCTCTCTGTGTTCCGATATCAATAACACAATTTTGAATTTGACTGAAATCTCCCTTCTCGGGACGGTCGCAGATATGTAGTGCTGAAATTTCATGCATGATTCTTGAATTTGCCGCTAAGAGCTTTTGTTAATCTTCTTTTTTTAGGCTCTGGTTCCTAGAGAAAAATGCTTGCATTAAGCCCCACCCCCCCCCAAAAAATGCAGAAGCATAATTATTGATTCTAGAAAAAAAAATGTCAAATTGAGGAATCATCTTGCTTGAGCCAAGCACTTTTTTTAGTTCAATGTACGAGTTCAGTTCTATGAGCAAACATATGGGGACAAAAAATGTCAACACTTAATAGGGCTTGCCCTTTTCGATTCCACCGAATTGCCGGCACGATTGATGCTGAATGGCTTGTGTACCTATCTCATTTATGATCAGAGGTTCGGCAAAATTACGAGATATTGTGATGATTCAAGATCAAAATTTGATGACATAAGGAGAGGTACTTTTACTCGTAGGTGAAGGTGAGGAGGCGTGGCAAAGATGCATGAGCTAACCCACAGTGAAGCTCTCTGACCTTTACCAGGATTGTCGCTTGATCAACCAACATACGTCAAGGCAGGAAGGACCAGAGCAGAAAGGATGAAGAAAGTGCTCATTAGCGTAATTATATTATTCTGACTTTTTTGACTTTGAAATTACACGATCTTCAAATTATGCGTGATATTTTAAAAGAAAATTACCTCGATATGTCATTGAAGATGTGTGTCGTCCAGACCAAAATTTTAGGGGCTATTTTTATTTTATAATAGAAAATTTTAAAAATCCATTTTTAACGGCAAAAAAACAGAAAGAAAAAAGTTTCGACGAAATTCATATCCCGATTCCTGGTCAAAATAACAAGTGAGAATTCGCCAAAGCGGCGGAGCTGCATAACCGCGTATCTTGTATACGAGTTTCAAAATCTCCGTTCTCAGTTCATTTTATCAAAGAAAAACGAACCAGCGACGTTCCATTACTTCAAAATTCAAACAGAGAAGAACAATCAGGGAATTTCTCAAGGGTAGATGGTGAGCAGCGATTTCCACAAAAAAGAAGAAAAAACTTGTGGGAGGAAGTGTGCAACGCCGCAAACCGAGGTATATGAGTTTGCTTTACGAAGGCTCCTTGCAGAAAGAAGAGTTGCAACTATTTTAACCTCTCAGTGGCTAAAATGGCATAACCTACGATTTGAAGGGGCGAGCTATTCGAGCCCGCTATTTGCTAATTTACTGATGAACTTTCCTTCCGCATCAGAAAATTAGGAGAAAATGGAAATAAAACGGAAAATGGGAAATACAGCGAGGAGAAAAGGAGGAACTAGTAAGAATTCGTACATGAGACAGGAAGAGATGAATGTAAATTATGGCTATTAGACGCTGAAGTCTCTGTATTCGCTATCGGTCAAGTCTTGTACAATACAATGACAGTGCAAATAATTTTTACATATTAGTCTAGCAGTTAAACGATGAGTTATTATCGTTAAAATATGTTCTCATTAAATCAAACCGTTTATTTTCGGCATTAAAAATAACACCACGAAAATATAGAACAAATACCGTACATCATTCGAATGGGAATATTGGCTATGTCTCCTCTAATGCATGTGCTCTAAAAAAATTCTACATACTATTTTTCTCTTCTTTTGAAATATTCTTCTCTAGATTTTGATGGATATATTCGGATGAGGGGGCAGGAGGGGTTGAAAACTTGAGAAAATAAGAGTGCACCACTGATCGCCCCCTCATTTCGATGGATATGCAATATACACTTTAAGCTACCGTGGAAAGTCATAGTAGCTGTAGCAAGATTTTCTTTTTTT